CTACTCCCCCTGCTTGTGTTCCCTCTCTCGCTGTGTCTCTCTCTGTCAAATAAATAAAATCTTTAAAAGAATAAAAAAAAATTAAAAATAAAAATTAGTAATTAAGAGTCAAGGGCGCTCTTTGAGGAAGACGCGGTCGTAGCTACAGCGGAGGTTTGGACGCCCCGCTCCTGCTCCTGACTCACCACTGTTCGCTCTCACCGAGGAACAAGTCGGTCAGGAAGCCGCGCCGCAGCCATGGCTTTTAAAGACACCGGAAAGACACCCGTGGAACCGGAGGTGGCGATTCACCGAATCAGAATTACTCTCACCAGCCGCAACGTAAAATCTTTGGAAAAGGGTCAGTACGATATTTTCAGAGTGAGACCTTTGGGCAAAAAAAAGAATGTATTTGGCTTTGTTGCTGTACAAGATGGACTCAGAAGTCAAGTGACAAGTCGCTTAACTTAAAAAAGGCAAAGGAAGAATGATCCGTGCTTAACTGTTAGTGTGTTTTTTAAGTCGTTGTTGGCGATGAGGAGACAATTACTGTGTTGAATGATGATGATAGTTTTATACGCTATTCTGAGCCAGCATCAGTTAAAATTCTGACGCTGACCTTTGTTTTGAACGAACTGAAAGATGCTTTTATTTTTCTGTAGTATGTGCTGACTTGATCAGAGGCGCAAAGGAAAAGAATCTCAAAGTGAAAGGACCAGTTCGGATGCCTACCAAGGTGAAAAAAATCAGGGGCAGGGGAAAAACACAAAGCGAAAGAAAAATTAATGGTAGAATTTGGTTCATGTTAAGTACCTGATTTTCGTAGATAACTGTTAAAAGTCTTTGCTGCTCTTTTTCTTGGGTGGGGTATGGTGTTTTTATAAGGGCACTGCCCTCGCTGAGAAAAAAATGGACTTGCCATTGTAAATTGATGGTGATTTACATAAAAGGGAAAGATGCTCTGGGAAGTATTCAAAAATAAGAGTAATGGTTTTGCAGGTGTCCTAGGGATAAGCATAAAATCATAAATGCTTGGTTTCCTTTGTCTTTTGTTGCAGACTCTGAGAATCACTACAAGAAAAACTCCTTGTGGTGAAGGTTCTAAGACCTGGGATCGTTTTCAGATGAGGATCCACAAGCGACTCATTGAT